GCAAGAAAGGACGTGCTCCTTGTATTTTCTGGTCTATCTACCTATTCGTCTTTCGAGTTCAAGAATAGACAGCGAATTTATATCAATAGTGATCAAGCAAGAAATACAAAAACAAGAATACAAGGGTAATTTATATGATAACTAAAATCATCCATAAAATGTGATGCTCAAGAATCATTCATAGATACATCCCCGGGACAAGGCCATTTAGATACTAATGTTTAAAAGAAGAACTCTTCAAAGTAGGATTGTTTTGCACTACAAAATCTGATGATGCTCCAATAATTTTTCTTAAAGACTATTTATAGATATAGAAAATCCTAAATAAAATAATTAAGTCCAAAACAAATTGAAACTCAAAATCCAGAAGAACTGTTAAAGTCTACGGATCGTAGAAGGGTCCCATCAAAATTGGGTAAATCATAAGGTCCTAATACTTGGTTTATAGTTTACTAGTACAAACCATAAAAAGTAGGTCACACCCATAGAGTTGTCCGAAAATTACTTCTTAGGGGATTTTGGTTCTTTTCCTATATATTATTGTAACACCACAAAATTATTTAAGTTAAGCCCAAACCATTCTTTAATTGCGTATAAGGTCGTACCTAGTGACTCTTAAATATCAATTAAATTTACTAAAATCTCCTAGTACAAAGTTGAGTTGAAAGTTTTCTTAAGGATTAAGTTTTGACATAAGATTTTTCTTAGGTCAACTTAAAACGACCATATCTCTTAGAGTATAAAGAGTAACATGGTTCTAACCTATCAAACTATTTGAATTATCTTTCTAATGTCACCAAGTTTGAGTCATTTCACGTTCAGAGTAGAGATTATAGTTATTTTACTATATAATATAGTGCAATTTCGTTTTAGCCGCGGGAAAATTCTAAATAAGATAATTTTCTTCTCCTTATAACACCAGGAAAACCTTAAAACAGATGTCTTAACTCTTATAAAGACCTAAAAAATCCTATTTCAATCTTTCAATCCATCATTCTCTTCACTCACAATTCCTAAGACATAAACCTAAGGAAAAATCAAAGTAGAAGACTTTCTTTCAAGATTCTTTCAAATTCTTTTCAAGAATCTTCTTCAAGATAAGTCTTTCTCCAAGAATTTCATTCTTTCCAACTCATATTCTTCCACACAATTATGAATCACTAATGAAAATCATAATTATTGGCCATATAGTTTCAAGAAACTAATTCGAGGAATATCAAGAAAGGTTTTCTTGATTTTTCTTCTTCAAGCTAGGATTTCAAGACTTAAAAATTCTTGAAGATTTTTCAAGGACCTTGTTCTTCCATATATGTAATGCTATCATAATATTGTACTAGTTCATCATCATGCCCTACACATACTTTCATATCAGTAAGAGAGTAGTATAGGATTCTTTTCCTAGATTTGAGTACTATTGAGATAAGTTGATTTTGAGTTCTTGAGTTCATGGTTCTTTTAAAAACTCTATTTCTAATTGTTGAGTTTCTATATTACTATTGAGATCCTTGATTTAGTATTTTTATGTCTATATTTCAGCATGAACCCAATTTTAAGTTGAAAAGTTTTTTTAAAACTAACACTTGAGTTCTTATACTGAGTTTTGAAAAAAGTAAATATAAGTTTTGAGAAAGGTGTTTCTAAAATATGATTAGTATGAGAATCGAGTATGACGTCAATATATTGAGTAGTATGATATCTAGTTATGTCATCAATGTTTAATCAATATGATATCTAGTTATACCATCAATGTTTAAGCAGTATGGTATCTAGATACACCATAAATGCTTATGCAATAAGGCTTTCCAAGTCTTCAATGGTCATATCACAATATGATTTTGAAATATATTTGAGAAAGAGTTTTTAAGTACGAAGAGTAAGAGTATAGGAAAGTAAGTATTAAAAAGGAATCAATTTATACGTTAATAAAAGAGAAACTTTGATTTCTAAATGAGTTATTAGTTCAAAGATGTTTTAAGAGCAGTTACCTCTTTTAAGAGGTTAGTTTGAACAATTATCTCATACCAGAGAAAGAGTATGAATTTAAAAATTGAGAATGAGTATATATTATTGGGAGTAGTGTTGAGCACCGATATGAGTAACGAGTTCAGAAAACTCACATTCCTTATAAACTATGTATGACAACATGAGTACATGATCATACTTTTTAGATGAATCCTAAGTCCCTTCAAACAAAACTTGGTGGATCAACTTAGTTAGTAGGTTCTATACCCAATCACATAGCTCACAGTGATGGTTGTCGATAAGATAATCTCTCAAACATACTTATTTTGTATCTTTACATACAAATAAAAGTTATTATTGTATATTCATATAATTGAGTTATTATTGTATTTGCACATACAACTGAGTTATTATCTATTGTTTTAATATTTTTTTTTTCATTTATTGATTCTTTTCTCGTTGCTTTATCCTTGAGTATCCAAAGTTGAACTATATTTTATTAACTTGAGTATTTTATTATTGAGTTGAGCCTTATTTTCTCTGAGTTGAGTTGAACTATATTTCGTTTAGTTGAGTGAGTTAAGAAGGGTAAGTATGTTTCTTTTTCATTAGTTCAAACTTATGCTTATACTTTATAGTTCCCCTTATATTCTCGTACATTCTATTTACTGACGCAGTTTGGCTTGCATCTTTTATGATGCAGATACATGTATTTAGGTTAATTAACAGAAGCTTCGTTGATATCACTTGCAGTTCCAGTTAGCTTTGGTACTAAGCCTTCTTATATTTTGGAGGACTTCACCTTTACCTTACGATTGTAGTCTTGGAGATGTCATAGGTCTTGTCCCATTATCCTTCTATAGTAGTAGAGGCTTCATCAATGGACAAAGTTGAGTAGTTTTTGATATGTATCTTTTTTGAGTTGTTTTTACAAACTCTGAGTTTATGTATTGAGTGATTTTCAAAAAATTTAAATATGGAGTATTTGAGTTATCAAATTTAATTCAGTTTTTAAGATTTTGTGTGCTTGAGTTAGTCTCCCGCTTGTAGTTAGCCAGGATGGGGATTCGCTTAGGACCAACAATGGTTCTCGAGTGTCGATTATGTCCAGGGTGTACACTTGGATCGTAAAAGTTATAAGACTATGTTATATCATTGTGGGATCCATCCTAAACCCTATGAAAGACCTTAAGTCATAAATCTTCCCACTTCAAACTCATTCTCCTATTTCCCCAAAACTAAACCAAATTCGAGGTCTTCAAATCACCATTCATCTTGGGATTTAAGTAGAAAGGTATATGGGTATTCACCTATGGAGTCCATTCCTCCATAGGTTCACCAAGGTTTTCAATTTCAAATGATCAATTTAGTTTCCCTTTGATTTCATCCAATTGTGAGTCTAATTGTTGTTTCAATCTTGTATTTCATGATTTAATGTAATAATAAGATATTTAGTTGAAATCATATGGACCCAAGCATGATTTATGATTTTTTAACTTTGAACCTATGAAGAACTCATGAACCTATGAACTATGAATTTTGAAGTATTATACACGTCTTACGAAATTGATGTTTAAGATGATAGGGTGATTTTATATGAAAAGTATCATTTTTTTGTGAAAGGTTTTCTCACATAAAAATATGATTATGATCGTGAAAGACATTTCTCTTATATGGATTCACATTGGTGAAATGTCTTCTCATGTATGCTTGAATTGTAATATAAGGAGCTTTATGTTTTGACCTTTATAATGTGGATTGGTATCGGTCATTGCCTTTCCTATATTATAATGATATTTGATTTTTATCTATTTTTTTGGGGTTTAGACTTAGCAACAAGAGGTCTTTGAGGTGGAGGCTCAAATAGGGAAGTCTCTAGTAGCAATCTCTAGTTCCTAACTACGTGCCCCCATAGCATTGTCTTAAATGACCTAGGTATGGGTCCACTTTAGCAAAAGATGATGTGTACGAATGCTATCTTGGCAAGTAGAATCTCCTTGTTTTAGTATGAGGGATATACCGAATTCCATGACATACTCTCATGGTCTTATTGTCGGTTAAAACAAATATCCCACAAAAATAAATATGTTTCTTCAAAACATTTTTGGTTGTCTTATTTTGAAATGCAATGATCATATCTTATGATTTATAGATTGTTGTTTCTTTAGCCTTTGAATGTTCAAATGTTGGTCATATCTCATATGTTTAAACTCTCCATGCTATCATGTCTGTTGTTCATATTTCCCCACACTTGATACATGGACATATACTTGTTCTACATTGTCTCACTAATGTAGGGTCTGATGGTCTTGCCTTTCACACCCGTGGATAGTTGATAATTTTACCAAATTGAAGAGTTGGTGAGTTCTCCGATTCCGAGGATGGAAAAACTTTTTCTTGCTTTATGGTTTACTAGTTTTAAGATGATGTATTGGGTTACGTTCCAACAACTCATTTGATGTTTTAGATGGCTTGTTGAGACTATGTTAGACTTCTGCTTTGTCAACCTCTTTTATGATGTAAGATTGGCTCTTTGAAATATTCAATTCTATTATATTGTATGGTAAGTGACGTGTGTAGGTCCTTTCGGGGTTCTATACACTAATGTTGCACCAAGGGTATACTTTAGATTGTGATAGACAGGAGCATCACTCAGCCGACCACATGCGCGGGCCATCCTGTGAAAGAGTGAAGCAAGTAGGATTCTAGAAACCAATTAACAAAATCAACACATGACAATACTGGGTCAAAAGAAGGATCTCTTAGGCACTAGCTTTGTATCAATGACATCGACGAATCCAAAAAATGTGATCCCAACTTTGTCACCACCCAAAACGTCATGATATACTTACCTCAACTGTAACGACCCGCTAGGTCGTTTTGAGAACTAGGACTAGTTTGACTCCTTTTGAAAATTTAAATGGGTACTTTTAAATTATTCGAAGACTAAGAGTATTTAGTTGATAAAAAAAATTTTAGTGAAGAATTAATATAGTTAATAGTTAATGGGTCATATCCATAATTTATTCAATATCTTATACTTGACCCATTAATTTATTTAAGTTAGTGGGATTAGTTTATTTGTTATAATAAATTAACATTAGAAAAACAGAAAATAAAAAGGGTTCAAAAACTACCGGCGGCGTGGGCATAATATTTACTCGTGAGTCGTGTATTGCAGGTGAACTTTCAATCTAATTGTGTTATTGAATGTTCATAGTAATATATTATTCTGATTTTTTATGATTTAATGGGATAATATAGTGCAAAAGTGGTGGGGTTAGGTGTGTGTTAGTCATTGAGTGAAAGAGTTTTTAACTTTTGTTGTTTTCTGTTTATATTTTTATGTCAATTTTCCAATTTTGCTTTGTATACCTGCAAGGTTAGTGGACAAATTTTGTGACTTTCCAATTCTTCTTTATAGATAAAATTATTTTTTTAAGGTTTTGATTTGAATTCAAGAATGAAATGGTCAGAATAGGTAGAAAGAGACATTAAATAATAGTTTTATATTATGGGTCCTTACTAGTACTTGGTTGAAACATTTTGGATTTTTTTTTTTGCAAGGTTTTTAGTTCCCAAGGATTTTAAATGGATGCAGCGATAGTTCTCTTTCTTTTTGGGATTGAGAAATTGTATGCAAATATGCAGATGTATAGGAATTTGAGGTGCAATAAACTAGTTCTTCATAAATGGTTTTAAGTTGGCTTATTTTCTTATTATTATCACATTAAGATACTAGTTTTTGGTATATTGAGATAGGAAAGTAATTATTAGGTGTATATTATATTAAGATTGAATTTTAGGGTATTTGGAGAGATGAAAGTTCAATTCTTGACTTAAAATTTAGCAAGTATAATAATTTTGGCATATAAACCATATTAAAATTTGGAAGTTGATTAGAATTATGAGTGAGTTTTTTTTTGTCTATGATAGACATACAATAATTTTAAAGTCTACAAACTCGCTTACTTACGAATACTGCGTAATTGGTAGATTGTGAACATTCAGAAACTTTGCGAAATGGAAAGAAACTATCTTGAAGATTCGTGGCACGAGGTTCGGCTCTTAAGGTATGTTAAGACTTTTAGACTTGTTGAATGACGTTTTCCTAATTAAAGATTAAAAATGAAAATAGACTAAGGGGTAAGGGCGAAAGATGGGGGTCTCGTATCAATGGTGTGACGGGCATTGGTACGAGTACTGGTGTTATAAAACGGAAAGTTACTACTATAGAATGTGGAATGTAATTTGAGAATTTGCCAAAGCATATGGGCATTAGCTGATATATTGTTAACTTGAAATTTTGGTGTGATTGTGTTTTCTTTATTACACCCGTATAATTGTGATAATTGAGGTGGTTATGTATTATGTTGATACTGATTGAGTGAGATGCATCATTATCCCCTTATATTGAAACAATACTGTATACATGCATTGACATGGGATTGAGTATGGTGAGATGTTAAGATTGTAATTGGGCACGTGGAGACCGTCCGTGCGGAAGTTATTTGATATTATGATGGTGCGTTGAGATCGTCCGCACAGACACGTGGAGATCATCCGTGTCGGTATATAGACCTCGCGAGTCCCCCATGGGTCATGAACTCTCGATGTATTTCCGAGGAGTATCATGTACATACGGTTGAGTGAGTACTGGGTATTCTGAGACATATCATTTATGGTATCATATTGCATTGCATTTCATCCCATCATTCGTTCTTAGTGATAATATATTTCGCTCGGTGTTTGGAAAATACTAAATGTTGATTCCC